GAACCACTCCTTGCCGCTGTCAAGATTCCCCGTGTACGGCTTCATAAGGCACGGCATTAAGGGGTAGGCAGGGTCTCCCAGGATCACAGTGGGCATTCTGACTTCCCCTACGGTGATCTTCTGGTCCGGGAAGAAAGTCCCTGCTTGCAGCTTCCTGAACAGGCCAGCGTTCCAAAAGATGCGTGCGTCATGCACCTTTCCAGATTAGCCTGTGTTAATGTCCGTGAAAAGCCCACAGTGATCCACAAGCGCCTGGAGAACCACAGAGAAATACCCCCTCTGATTAATGTATTCGGTGGCTAGGTGGTCTGGTGCCAGAATTGGAATATACGTGCCACCTATTGCCCCTCCGCAGTTAGGGAAACCCATTTGGGCAAAGCCATCCACAATGTCACGCACATTGCCCAGAGGCACAGTCTTTTGGAGCAGGATGTGATTAATGGCCCTGCAGACTTCCGTCAACACGAGTCCAACGGTCGACTTTCTCACTCCAAACTGGTTAGCAACTGATCGGTAGCAGTCTGGGGTAGCCAGCTTCCACAGTGCAATCGCCACACACTTCTCCAATGGCAGAGCAGCTCTCATTCTCGTGTCCTTGTGCCCCAGGGCTTGGGCGAGCTCATCACACAGTCCCATGAATGTTGCTTTCCTCATCCGAAAGTTCTGCAGCCACTGCTCATCATCCCAGATGTGCATCACTCACGATGTGATCCCGCCACAACTTGTTTCCAGAGCCCAAAAGCAGCATTCCACTGTGATCAGCACCTCCACGAATGCCACAAGCAATCTCGTGTCATAGCTAATACGCGTGGTAAGATCAATGTTGAGCTTCTCTTGCATTTGTACTTTAAGGAATAACTCCACTGCCACTCGTGACGTGTTAGTGAGAGCAACAGTGTGGGATCCATTCCTGCAGACCGAAGAGGCAGAGAGTGCAGTACACAAACCATTGAAACATGGTGCCAAATGCAGATGGAAACACAGGGATTGCTGGGATGCAAAGCAATGCATCACGGGGCATTTGAACTGGACCCAAGATCTCCCACAACCCCCTCCGCCTTCCCACAACTCTTAGCGGCAGAAAAGGAAGAGATGCTCTGTGGGATAGTTGCCCAGAGTGCACCGCTCTGAATACCGATGCAAGTACCACAAGTGTGAATATGCTATTGCGCAGGCAGCTGACAGTGTGAATATACAACAGCGGTTTCCCTTCACGCTCGCTGAGCAGTGATATAATTGCCAGCAATGTAACTCCACCAGTGTAGACATACTCTTAGAGTTCAGTTCTATCAATCCCTCTTTCTCTACAGTTTTAGCTCATATTTTTCACCAAGAGACTTTTCTTTTTATATCTCTTTTTTTAAACTCTCTTTAGCTCCATGGTGTGTTACCTCTAGGCTAGGGCCACTGTTGAATCAAGACCCTAAATTGTGGTCCACGAGTGCAACTGTGTTAGAAAGAAAATTATTTGATTAACTGAAAATATGTTTCCTGAGCCACAGCCTGTGATTTTAATCTGAAGTACTGGAATCAGCTTGGAAACTGTAAGGGGTTCTACCTTCCCAGCAGCCTCCCACCACTTTTTTTGACATTTTCAGGATCAATTCTGATGTAATCTGAAAGTGCTCTGAGCAACAACTGTCCCTTTCTTACTACCACTGCTCAGCAGCTCCCCTGTTGACGGCCTGCTGGATCACAGGGGAGTGAGGAGTAGACCATAGGCTGCTCCACTGTCTGCTTCTCTAAAGAACCATAGGAGCCCCAGGAGGAGCAGGACAGGAGCAAAACTTGTTCTGCCTTAAGCTAAGGGAGCACTTAGCAAAGAAAGGTGTGCCTTCCTCGCACAGCCCCACAAAAGAGGGAAAGTGGAGAAGCTGGGAACCAACCACCGGTTACAGTTCCCTGATTTTCTGCCACTAGAGCAGTCTAGTGGCTGTTCTAGCTTATCCCAGCTGGCATTGGTTCCCAAAGGACGGTGAGTCAGCTGTAGTTTATTTGAAGCGTAACATGCCTCAGTCACTCCCCCTATGCCAGAGCTGTGGAGAGGGAAGCGCAGAGGCTAGTTACACTAGCTCCACGCCTTCGGGGGGAAATCCGTAGCAGGGGATGTGCAGGTTGATTCTGTTATTTATGTGCTGCTAAGAGAATCTGTCTCAAAAGTACTGTCCCCTCAGGCTGAAAAGATTGGACACTATGGCTCTAGCTTATCAGCGTCCACTTGCTGCACCACATGTGCTTGAGGCAGCAATATATGAAAAATAACTATTACTTATCTATAACTGACATTCAGTTAACTGCAAATGTCTAGGACAAGTTTCAACTTTCACTGAGTCATCTATATTGAAAACAGTACACTTCTATACCAACGGGAACAAAACTATCATAGTAGAAGGTTTTGAAAAAGACAGTGTAGCTCATCTCAACTTCCTATGTACCAGTAAAGGATATGTAATGTAAAGTTAAAATAATTTCAGTTAACCCATACAAATCATAGAATCGTAGGACTGGAAGGGATCTTGAGAGGTCATCTAGTCCAGTACCCTTCACTCATGGCAGGACTAAGTATTACCTATGAAGACAAGAGACACTCATTTTCCATGAGCTGAGAAAGTTCAAGTAAATAACTTATATGATGACATCATATTTTTATTGAAATAATTATGTACAGTTTACTTATCTAATCTTTTTTAATTCCTGCAGAAATTCACTGAAACCTTCTCTCATCTCACAAGGACAAACAGTTAATGGGGACCCAATCCTGCAGACTTTCCTCACCGGAGTAGTACTGAAATGAACAGGAGTAAGAACTTCTAAGGTGCCTAAAGCTTGCCAGATTAAGCCCTAAAGATCCAGGCACAAACACAGCATCTATCTATCCCTATACCTCTCACCTCTAGTCAGATACAAAAATCTTGTCTGTTAATATGATCCACCTGACACCTGCTTTCCTATTGGCTTCCCATTTCTGATTCTTTCTTCCTTCAGTTTCCTCATTGCTCCAAGTTTTCCACTAAACCCTGGTACTTTTGCAAACTGCAGCACAATGGTGACTATTTAAGATTTTAACATCACTTTAAAACTTGTAAGAAATAGAATGGATCATCTATAACATGGGCATGTATACATACAGCAATATTCAACTTTCAGGAGCATTTCTTTACTGTTCTACCAGACGTATGTTGTTCCAGCACTTTTAGAAACCACCATGCTTATTTCAGCATTTTCAATATAACTATGAAAAAGTACTTTCATGGGTTTATAACTCAGTCATCAAGTCCACTCTGAGCTAATAACTTGTTTATACAGTTTAACTAGGAAGGATTTCATTTCCCCTGTATCAAATATTTAAAAGTTTTAGAAATAGTGTTAGTGATCAAAACCAGTTGATTGATTTTGTATTCATATTACTTGGATTTAAAAATATTTGACAAGCATTTAGCTCGTAATACAGTTTGACTAATTTTTAGGGTTTAAAATTAAAGAAAAATAAATTTCTAAATTCCAAGGGATTATAAAAATGTCCAGACTTTGTTAAAGCGGTACAGTATGCACAGTAACTTCTTTCATTCAGAATTTTAGTATGTATTTAGAAATGCAAAACAAAGAATTCACGCAATACATGTAGTCTACAGTTTGAACATATTATTAGTGTAACTAATATGCATTATAAACCAAATATACATAACCATGTTTTTTCTATGTCAATGCTGTAACATGTTTTATAAGCCTAATAGGACCTTCTATTAAACCTGTATAAACAGTATTAGAGGATATGTTCAATAAAGCTAATTGTGTCAAACAGATCAAAAATAACAGCAAACTTCAAAGTGAAGGTATATATTCTGTAATGTTAACTAATACATTTTGGTCTAGTTTTCCACATTGGAATGAATTAAAGATATAGTGTAATTATTGCTATTGATATGTTTGTCACAACTTTAACACTGCACTACTTAAAGGTAATTTAGTAAAGAGTTTAGACATTGAAGTCTTCATAGCAATGTCATATGCTTACACAATCATATACTATATGTTCTTTTTCTGCATTGACAGAGTGCTGGGAGCTAGCTGCACAAGGCATAGAAGACACAATACTAGTTCCAAGGTACTTACAGTCTAAATTAAGGATCTGAAGATACTAATACAAATGAATACAAATTTAAGAATCTTCTGCCTGTAGAAACTAAGAATTTCTCTGAAATCTTAACTGTAAGTCTGGGCAGCACTTTCATATTCAAGGGTCAAGTTACACCCTCTGCAAACCACGTTGTCCTTCAGTAAATCATTAGGGATTTCAGAAACTCCAAAACAGACCTCCAGAAGATAGAATCAATATCAGTTTTTGTTATTATTCCTATGTATTTGCCTCCCATGCCATATCATTCCCAAACACACCAGCTTCTCGAAATGCATCCAAAAAACTTCTTCAGATCCAAATCGGAAAGTTTCAGGAATCCACACGCATCCACTCCAAGGACACAAACCCACATGGCACCCTGCAGCTTTGCCCTTGACAAAGAAACCTCAAATATATCAGTGATCCACCTCACTGCCAACACCAAGCCAATTGCATAACAGAAGATTTTGGTTTGTTAGGGACTGAACTAGACTGTCAACTCCTTGGGGGCAAGAAGTGGGGCTACTTCTCGGTTGTACAGCACTGAGGACACTGTACAACCCATATATAACAACAACAACAAGGGTGATGGCTACATTCACTTATTACATGAGCTGAGCCTCTGGCTTTAATTCTGCATATCAGAATACCAAGCAAGATTTATTTTAAACAGATTTGTATCACCTGCAACAATCCACCAACTTGTGCATTTCAAACCCCTCCCCCGCCCTCCAAAAAGCCTCCTGAAGAACCACAACATTAGAAGATTTCCCTCAAATATTTTCCCCTCCCGCGAAAGGACTTGCAAACAAAGTGATCCAGGAGTCACATGCCGGAGAAAGGGGTGTCCCGTCTGCGGCAAGGGCATGGAAGTTGCACCTACCTTTGCTTCCCCCAAATCGGGCTCCTCCTCGTAGTAGCCCTGCCCGGATTCATAGGCAGCGGCGGTGGCCGGCTCCCTGGGTCCCAGCAGCAGAGCAGCAGCAGCCAGATAGCAAACCAGAGAGAATAATCCCAGCAAGTGCATTGTGCAAGGATGGCAGGGTGGGTGCGTGGCGGGGCGGGGGGAGCTTGAGGAGTGTACGGGGAATCGTGAGGCTCCTTGGCTTTGTTGGTTGCCTCCCCCCAAGATCCAAGGCGGCAGAATCCCTGGGATGGAGAAGATGCAGCAGCACCAGCTCCCAGCAAGGGAGCTCCCAACGCGCCCGGCCGCTGTGCAATTGCTCACCGAAGTTAGCTGGAGTTTGCCAGGTGAAAAGCCACCAGGAAACCGGACATCCGAGCCGGGCTCGCTCAGGAGCAGGGAGGTGAGGCAGGGCAGGGAGGAGAGGGAGAGCGCAGCTGCTCACACCAATGGGGCTTCCTCCTTCTGCTGCAGCCCCCTGCCTGCACACACGCAGCGCAGCCCCATGGACTAGGCGAAGCCGGCGCGGGGGAGAGCGAGCCGCTCAACTCACTCTCCTGCCTTGGCTCGCAGGACGCCTGTCAGCGGCTGCGGGGCCCCGGGTGCTGGAGCCTCCTCAACGCGTGGAGCTGAGCGGCGGCAGCGGCCGCAGGGGGCGGACATGGCTCAGGCGCCCTCTGCCTGTGCCTCTGAGGCTGAGCGACTGGCTGGCGGCGGGAGGGCGGGGAGGAAAGGGTGTGAGCCCCCCCCCCCCCCTCACCCCTCGGGCTGCCTCCTCCCGCTCCTGCGCTTCTCACAAGCAGCCACTCGCCGTGCAACGCTTTTCCCGGGGCTGAGGAAATGTGAGACGGGAGGCGCGCGCCTGCTCCGGGCCAGCCGGCGAGATGGGGCCACACGCTGCGCCGGCCTGTCCCTCGAGCCGGGACCTGCCTCCCGCGGCTGGCGGCGTCGCACCTTTCTTACTCGCCTCCGCTTTGCAGCCCCGAAAGGTGCAAGGAGGCTGCAGAGCAAGCTGACTGCATGGGGGCAGTTGGTGCTAGGTCTCAACCTGATGCCAGGGACTAAGCCCCGTGCCAGGATCTCAACGCGCTTTGCAAGCACCTATTAAACAACCCACACTACTGTAGCCCCAGCCCTGCACTCCCTTTCTTCATAGGCCAAATTACCACCGGCTGCAGGATCAAACCCTTAGGAAGTTTATGTATTGTATTTTATTCAGCCTTCAGCAGTGATGTCCGTGCTTAGAGTTGCTTACATCACAAATGGACAAATCCCGAAGGCCTTAGGCAAAATTTCCATTGACTTCAGGTCGATTATTGGAAAGGAGTCACTGGGCTTTTTTGCCTAAGTAAAATGAGGAGGATTTGGGGCGCTGTTGTTTTGTTTTTGTTTTTTTTAACCGGTGGCCCAAGCAAGATTTTTGCCAGCTTGAGAAGAGACCGTCACCAATACCTTACTTCGGTGCTGTGCTTCTTCAAATAGAATTGGAGCAATCCTCGACTTGAAGCTGCCTTCAATCGGAAGTGTATTGGTACCGTATTTCACTGAAGCTGTGGTTAAAAAATAAAGCCTTTTTAAAAAACACACATTTCTAATGAAAGTAAGGTGATACATATTTTGCTTAAGTCTTGGGTGTATGAAAGGAAGGGGTTTTATTCCCTACATACTTCTTTTCCTTTGATATCATCAATGTTATTGAAGAGCTACTGACATATGAAAACTTTTGAAAATCATTTAAAGGAATTTTCTTATGTATTAAATGTTTTGTATTTATTCCCCACCCCCCATATGGGTATTTGTGTTTGTGGGAGGGAAACTTGGTTACTATGGACCGGATTCTGCCACCATACTGTTACGTTACCTTACTTCTTCAGTAATTCCATTATGATTACTCAAGAACTACAAACTATTCAGCATAAGTAAGGGTGGCAGTATCAGGCGCTAAGAGTTTCTGTACATCTGTTTTATTCCTCTGTTTAATCATCGGTAGCATCACAACTGTATGCTGTGGAAATTATTTTGAAGCCACAAAGAACTACACAATTTTAAGATACAAAGAGCCAGATAGTTTTCATAAAGATTAAAACAAATAACGGAAAAGAAATACAGAAAAAAATATAGTGTAGAAGCAGAACTGCAGGTGATTAAAACATTTTTCAGATAAGTAGGGCTTCTGTTTTCAGAGTTTATTAATGTCATTTTTCAGGGTTATTTTTTAGCACTTTGACTTTTGTGTGAATGTCCAAAAATTGGGGGTTTCTTGGCTCTCTTTACAGTATATACTGTAATGAGTAATGTATACAACATACACTAGTGCATACTGTAATTAGTAATCTCTTTGTAATGTTCCATAGTGCACTTTCAAGTTTGTTTCAAACAGCACTATAGTAAAGCACACTAGGGACTTTTAGTTCGCACTGACCAATTAATGTGCAACATGTTAGCGCACTTTAGAAATCACACCCCCATTCGCCGCATTACTGCTTTGTGTGGACAAGCCCTTAGAAGCAACCATTTCCAGTGTTTTTCCAGTAACTGTTGGATAAACACTAATTTCATTTTTTTGGAGGGGGGGTGTTTTATTGATGTTCATCAGTTAAAACCTAAAATCAGAAGCCCTATCTATAAAGTACTAATAAGTCTGTAGCAGTGTAACCCTGTTGGTAACAGGTTATCAGAGAGACAAGATGGGTTAGGTAATATCTTTTATTGAACCAACTTCTGTTGGTGAAAGAGACAAACTTTTGAGCAACAGAGAGTTTTTATTTTGATCTTGAAGAAGCAGCCTGTGTTGCTTGAACCTTGTCTCTTTCCACCAACGGAAGTTGGTCCAATAAAAGATATTAACTTTCCCACCTCGTCTTTCTGGTAAATCTTTAGTTTCTTCACAGAAACCAACATAGCAGCAGACTGGGAACTATGGTGGGAGTTGAATGAAAGAAAAATGGGAATAATTATGTAATGTTCTTCAGCTGTTACTTTACAAAGTTTTCAGTTGTGCACTGGGATCTAAGCAAATGGACCTTTGCGCCTGTGCAGTTCAACTACAGGACTGAGGCAAAAAAAAAAAAGTGTACTCTGGGAATGCAGCCCTGTACAAACCATGAAAATAGTGTTACTGATTTGAATTTAAACATCACAGGACCCTTCATCATAATGGCAGCCTATTGTAGAAAGAAAGTTTTTTAAATAGTAACATTTCCTACTTTATAAGTAGGATTTTTTAAAATCAACATGATTTCTAATTACAGTAATTGGTCTCTGTGTGGGAATATGTTTATGTAAATATAATCCATCTTTAGGTAAAGGATTTTCTAGTAGTGTTCCAGTGTCCTTTGTTAATAAAAGCAAATGCCACCCCTCCCCCCAAATGCTGTACCTTAAATGTGAGCTTTAATAATTGGGAAGAGCTGAAATTTACACAGTTAAAAATTCCAGAGTTCCAAATCATGATAACTTATGTGGGAACAGACCAGGCCTTCCATAGTTACTATAAATCTACCTGGTTGACATGTATTTAGATCCAGCTATTCCAATCTCTGAGTGTCAGGCAAGGACCAACTTTTAATTCCCTAAAACTAAAACAGGACACAACACAACCCATATTATTCTAAATTCCCAGCTTCAGAATTTTCCCAGCTCCTTTTACAGTCTCATTCTGTCTGTACTTTGACTTTGCAATCAGGACCCCAATCCTCCAAACACATACACTTGTGCTTAAGTTAATGCATATGAGTAGTACAATTGAGTTAAATGGGATGACTCCAGAATGTAAAGTTAATCACTACTTAACTCTCTGCAAGATAGAGGCCAAAATTCCTGAAACTTGCAGAGTCCAGCAGTTCTAAATCTTGCACATCTTCTCATCCCCAATTGTAGATGCTTTGTATCCTCTCTATGCAGATAATCAGATATGCCACTGGTGATTTGGACTGGTTCCTGAACCGTTCTTTCTTAAGACCTTTTTTCAATTCACGCTGTATTTTTTTCAGCTGAACTAGAGACCATTTTCTGTTACTTGTAAGTTAGCACACAAACTTTTAAAGAGCTAAATTAATAAAATCTTAAAATACTATCCTTTTTAGCTAACAATTATATACAGTATTATGTACATCATATATCATGCTATAGCATGAATAAAATAACCAAAAACCATTACAAAGTTACATTTTCAGCAAACCCAAGGAAATCTTTTCATCTAATCATCTGAGAAGGGTGCATTACAGCCAAGTATCCAGAGATTTCAGAGTAATTGATCAATATTTGGTTTACTTTGAGCTGGTCAAGAAAGTCAAACGTGAATCTTGGCTATGGGCTTTTTGCCCAAACCTGGCAACAGATATTGATGTCTAGTAAACAGAATAACCCTAATTTTCCCTGGCATCAAATCTGCTGTGGAACCCCCCCCCCCCCTTTTTTTTTCTATTTGAGTACTTAAAAGTATTTACCCCTCCCCTCACCCTCAAATCAAGCAAAAGAATGTTATACAGTATCATTATTAAGATATGTGCATAGTAAGTAAGGATGAATATCACTCCTATGGAGTGGACCAGTGCAAGGCCAGTAACCGACTTATTTTAAGGACTTCAGTGGGACTTAATAGCACATAGGCCTTGTACTGGCCTTCCGTACAGAAGTGAGTTTCATACAATGTATAATAAGATATAAGTGAAGGCATACATGGCCATTTTTCAGTCTGCCCACCACTACTCTGTAGCTGCAATACTAACTATGATTAGCAAACAAACAGAATCTTATATGGACCCATCTCAAGCAATTTTCTCAATGTATTATTTTAAGAAGTGTAAAAAAAAAATCCAAATGACAGGTTTCAGAGTAACAGCCGTGTTAGTCTGTATTCGCAAAAAGAAAAGTAGTACTTGTGGCACCATAGAGACTAACCAATTTATTTGAGCATAAGCTTTTGTGAGCTAACTGTAGCTCACGAAAGCTTATGCTCAAATAAATTGGTTAGTCTCTAAGGTGCCGCAAAAATCCAAATGTCAACCATCTTGGTGTTTTAATATACCAGGTACATCTGTCGAGCACATTCCCTTACTGTGTCTAGACATACCTGATATGTCCACATGTTCCATCTGAATGAATGGAGATAGAAAACAGTTGTGGAAACATATGCACATTTCAGAAGCAGGATGCCTCAATGATAGGAAATGTCATTTGGGAACTGCAATAAGGAAACGAGCTGAAAGGGTGGAATTTGAGGAAGTTTATCTACAACAGTAGCAGTAAAGTCAGTAGCTCATTATTATAACTTGGTTTTATGATTGTTGTTGTGGAACTTATAGAACTAAGAATCTTATGTGGTCAAATTTTCTTTTGTGATTTTGATTTTTCCTTGTATTTAAGTCTCAGCTAGTCACTGTGTTTTCGTTTAGATTCAAAATTAAATTGCACTCTGTCTCTAAATAGACTCACGTATTTTATAAATTAAGAGGTATTTCCAAGAGATAAAAAAGACAAATAGTGCTGTTTTGCTTTTGTTCTAACACACAAGATCTTTATTTCTCACTAGCAGGTTTCATTTAGTTTATATATAATGTAAGTCTCAACGAAAAACAGACAGCACAATTCCTGAGCTCTGCAAATCAAAAGAACCTTGGGGTGTTTTTCTGCAGTTGTTCCAAAAGGTGAAAGTGTTGTTGTAAGCCTCACTTCTCTCCTCCCCCCCCCCTTGCAATCACTCTTTTTCTTTGTGTCTATGCAGAGTATTTTAAAAAAAAATCTGAATGTTAGCCAAGATTTTCATAAGTCATGAGTGATTTTGAGTGCCTCCTTTCTCAGAGACCCATCTTGAGATGCATCATAGGAGCCTGATTTTCAGAAAGTGCTGAGCACCCAACTTCTGAAAGGAAAAAAAAAAGACCTTTTAAAAGGCACCTTAAGTTAGGCATCCAAAAATCAAGACACTGAAAATCACTTCTTGTTTCACAGTATCTGTCCCTTTATGTTTTAATGCCCCCAAAACATTACATTCTTTCATGTTTCTCTTCCTTCTTTGCCACTTTGAGACACATACCTATTACACGGGGGAAAACACCTGAGATGCTGTAAAATACCAGTTGCAACAGCAAAGTTAAAGGTGCAGTCTGATGTTCAGTCTGTACTTCTTTTTTTCCCCGTTATATCTTATGTGTATTTTATAGAAAGGAAGTATTTAAACGTACCGCATCATTTTACTGCTTGTGTGCTTAATGCACTCTCTTTCCTTCTTCACGCTCTCTGATTTAAAAGGGTCATTTTTTTGGCTGGCTCAGTGTTTAGTGTTGCCTTGCCTGATCCAAGTTAGGGTCCTGAGCCTAGTCATTTAAGACCTAATCTAAAATCCTTTGAAGTCACTGGGAGTCTTTCCACTGACTTCAGTGGGCTTTGGATCAGGATGGTGTGAAGTAAATCATGCCCAAGGAGAAACTGCACTATGCATCTGTGCTAGTCCTGGACTCTGAATGTAGATTTATCCATTATTCCTCTCTAAAGAATGAGCCTTTTAATTCAATGAGAAAGAAAATTATTTTGCAGAAGTGGCATCTAAGATATTTAGACTGATAACTTGGTCTATAATATCTGAGAATTTTTTAAATT